CGCCTCCGCAACCCGAAAGGAGAAGCGGCGATAGAAGATGAAGATGAAGATGAAGGATAACTCGTCTCAAGAATATTTTGGCGACATCAGATGGATAAGATCATGAAATGGATCATAAAACGGTTCATCGATGACGCTTAGACGCTGACAGTCAAGAAGGCACGACACTGGATCAAATCACGTTCTTATCCGCGCTCGAACTGAAACGTACCGAAAGTCTATCGTTCCATTCATCGCTCGCTTGCTTGCTAACTATTCAGTGGCTGAAGAACATCTTCTGTCACTCTCTTCCCGAGTGTAACGCACCAGGTCGAATCTTTTGCGCATTAACGTACAATCATTAGCATCTGCTTACCAGTTATTTGATTTTTAAGTCTGTCGAGCGAGCTGCTGGAAACTAAGACACAGCATAAGCAAGTAAACTGTTACAACTGGAGAGGAGAAAATGAGAGAATGTGCTGCAATGATGACACCGAAAGCTAAAATCGTGTCTTCACTCTGAAGAGAATACATTTGACGATATCGAATACGCACGAAGTATCTCCGAAGAAACTTGAAACGTGACTCCAGTAATTGGATTCTACAGCTCAGAATCGACAGTATTCGACATAAAAAATGAATCGAAAGAGCGAAGTTTACTTGTGAGCAATAATCGCGTCGACAATGGGCGCATTAGAGACGACACCAACTTGAACGAGAAGAAAATCTGATTTGAGGAGCGCCCTGCGGTCCAATTCTCTCATTGCGTCCCCAAGGCTTTTGCAGCTTTCGATCTGAATGTAAATGAGGTTCACATTGCGACCGCATCCAACCCATTGAGCACTGGAAGCAGAAAACGATGGAATCTTCAGCTAGTATAACGCTGTCGGTTTGAAGCTCACTTTAAATGCTCCATCAGCAGTTTCGGCGAGGCGACCATTACGACGAACACATCCTCCACGTCCAACGCTTCCAGCCATTCCAGAACGTAGTCGATTAGCGGCACATTGCACAACGGTAAAAGACTCGAAAACGAACTGTTTAATAAAAGGACACATGGTACACGACCTTCAGAGAACTCACCACGCTAACGTCAAACAACCTGCCGAAGCACGAGTTGAAATGATCTGCTATTAGTACAGCCGACAACCTCTCTTCCTTGCCTCGCATGATCGACGTAAAAAATTATATCATAATCAAACACTCAAAACTGATCGCCGGACAAAATACGCAAACGAACGTGCGGATCACTGTTCCTAAAAGTTGCATTACGGTAACATTTAGCAAACCTTGTGTCAAGCAACTCAAGCAACTCCGGCAATCATTTCCGCAATGCACCGATCGGCACTTAGCGATTTATGTAACTTAGCGTATCTGAGATTATGCTCAATTTGGCAGAGTCTCGTTTAAAGAGAGTTAGCTGGAGTCACGTCATTATTTAGCTGAATCCTGCATGTTCCATCGCCGCTTCTCCTTTCGGGTTGCGGAGGCAGACGCGTCAGACAGTGCTTCCAACGTTCCCGATC